TCTTCACTTACTGAATGAACAGCAAGAACGGGAAAACCCTGTGAGAGGTGCATGCATTTGAGGCTGCTATTTTGTGTGTGATGGGAGAGGAAGCCTTACATGGGAGTGAAAGTATTGCACGTGTGAGAGAATTTTCCACTGAAGCAGATTTTCAGTGGCCAAAATTCCTGCATTCCGTTGCACTGATACTCTTATAGGATAACAAGGAGTTGTTTACACGAGACTTGCCTTCCTTTGTCCTGACCAGAGCAGAGTGAAGACACATCAGTGTTCAAGAGACAAGTCTGTAGACATGTACCTAGTATGTCAAGGAGCTTGTTGTCTGTTAGGTATTTAATAGCTCCACTGACTTGGCATAGGTAAAGCTTGTTTGTAGTTGGCATTACCAGAAAATAAAACGAACAAACAAGCAAAAAAAATCCAGCATTATTCTCTGATAGGTGTGCAGTGATTAAGTCAGTAAATCATTAACTAGAAGATAATCACATTTCAACAATCAGCAGATAAATTCATCCACTTCCTACAAAAACATATTCAAGCTACAGCTTGGAGAAGGAGAAGGAGAAGGAGGAGAAGGAGGAGAAGGAGAAGGAGAAGGAGAAGGAGAAGGAGAAGGAGAAGGAGAAGGAGAAGGAGAAGGTGACGGTTTCGCAGTCAGTGCTCTGCCCACAGCACAATGACGCTGCGGCTTTGCTGTCCACTTGCTGCCGGGATTTTTATCCTCCTCGTTCCTGGCCTCTCTGAAGGAGGGAAACTCCTGGTGGTGCCCATGGTTGGAAGCCACTGGCTGAGCATGAAGGAAGTAGTTCAGAAGCTCGCCGAGAGGGGACATGAAGTGGTGGTGCTTAAACCAGAAGTAAGCTGGCATACGGGAGAAACACAAAAACACGCGTACACTGTGAAGACATACCCAGTGTCCACCAAGTTAGAAGACCTGGATAATGCCTTTCAGCTGTATCTTGCTGCTCACCTGAAGAGTCTGCCTTTCCCAGAGAATGTTATTGCACTGTACTACAATGCGAAGCATGTTTTTGAATCCTTCTATCTTCAGTGCAGGGAACTGTTCAGCAGCACAGAAACTCTGCAGTACTTGAATCAAAGCGGCTTCGATGCAATCCTCACAGACCCTGTTTTGATGTGTGGAGCTACGCTTGCCAATTACCTTTCACTTCCATCTGTGTTCTTCATGAGAGGATTACCTTGCAATCTACACTTTGATGCAGCACAGTGCTCAAGCCCTCTGTCGTATGTTCCCAGAACACTTTCCTTCAATTCAGACCACATGACATTTTTCCAGAGAGTGGAAAATACACTGATTTCACTCTTGGAGCTCTTTTACTGTAACTGGTACTATCGAACTGCAATACAGGTTTCCTCTGAAGTTCTTCAAAGAGATGTATCCCTGACTGACCTCCTGAAGTCTGCTTCTATTTCAATAATGAGATTTGACTTTGTGTTTGAGTATCCCAGACCAGTGATGCCCAATATGGTCTTTGTTGGAGGTATAAACTGTGCTGAGAAGAAACCACTGCCTAAGGTATGTTCATTTTCTCAAATTACACATTTCCCAAAGCAATGCAATTTCATGGCTTAGGGATGGTTAGCGTACTTGATTTTATTTTTCTTTCCAAAATATTAACAGATCTGACTCTTGGCATATTGTTATTCCGTGGTCTGAAATGGTGGCAGGTGACTGTTATTTGAATTCGTATTTTCAGAGAAATCCAACAGCGTTTGTCTTCATCTGCTGCATGCTGCCCTCAATGTGTTCATATTGTTCTTCTGTCAGATGCAATTTTGGTTTCATGTTCATGGAGTGTAGCATGTATTGCTTTAATTGGAATGATGAAATGCATTTCACTGGTTCAGAAATCAGTCTTTAAACTGTTTGCGTTGTTTTATTTCCATAGTGGGAGGTTCCCTACGTGGCTGATCACTTTTTCGTATGTGTTTCTTGACATTTACTTTTATCAGAAACGTTCTGCAGGAGCTCTTAATACCTCTGTCTTGTTAATTCAATTTATAGCTTTGGACGTTTCTTACTTGTCATGGAGGAGGACACACACTTCTTTCCTGTGACATTTCCTCCTCACTTCTGAAGTGTGGTCACACGTATGACTACATAATTGCACCACTGTTTCTATGAGTTGAATTTCTTTTCTTTCTTCATTTATATTCTTTGATTATCTTATTCTGATTCACTGAGGCAAATACAGAGTAAGCTGGTTGCAAACATTTTCCTGTGTTTGACTGAAGAGAGTGGTAACTAATTACTCTAGATTCAAAACGCACCATGACACGCTCTCACTGATTGCATGACTGAAGTTTTTTATATGCTTTTACTTACTTTTCTATCCTGACAGCCTCAGGGTGCTGACACTTTGTAGCTCACTTCTTTTAAAAGGATTATAACTATTCCCCCTGTATTTTATTCCCAATGTCTTCCATCTTCATAACGATGTTTGTCATTGAGTGGAAATGGTGCTTTCTGCATGTTTAAAAACCCTGTGTATTCTTCCAGTATATCTAAAGAAAACTGTGGAATTAGTCCTGTTTTGCTTGGAGTGGTGCCCAGCATCAAGGTTGTAATGCAATAGTGTGTGAACATGCAAAGTAAGTCATGTTCTGGAAAAATATCAGTCCATATGCAGTGGGATAATCTGAGTTGATGTTCAGAAACTACATAACGTGAGTTGTATGAGACCCGGTATCCTGTTGTGCAGAAGGTAAGAGAACAAGAAAGTTGGGATGACTAGGAAAGGGAAAGAGAAGAAAGCTGCCAAATAATTTCTTGGTATATCTTCATTCTGAATATTGTCTTATCCTTCATCTAAGAAAAGGAATTGTAGAACAGCAACACAGATCGTGTCAGGAGACAGGTGTGGTAAAAGGCATGATCGAGATCTACATTCTTAACAACAGACTGTTAATGACGTGCGGAAGATTCCTAAGAAATAACGGTCCAGTGCTGCTTCCAAAATAGGAAAGGAAGAAGAGAGACTGGGAAAAATCAAGCAATGGCTTATTGATATAAGAACAACTAGAAAAAGCTGATTTTTTTTTTTTTTTTCTCTCAGGTTTCTGACTGTCATGATAGTTATAGAGTTCTGCTGATAAATTACAGGAGGAGATTGTGTAAATGAACTCCTGAGGGGTGTGTAATACAAAGACACAGAGTTAGGTTCAGGGGTTCTTGGGGTCAGTCTTGCAGGAGCCTGAGAGGCTATTCTGTATATGGGTTGTTAGTGCTTGCTTGTGGCATTAGCCAGTGTCCTGTGGCAGTGCTGGGTAAGAGGAGCATGTGGTGTAATTCAGTGCCGTCGTACCTACCAAAAGTGGTGTGGAGGTGGGGAAGACAAGAGCCATCATCTGTCTGTGGGCTGCATCGTGTGGAAGGTGTGAGACTGTGACACTGGGAGCCAAAGGCAAAGACATGAGGAACATGCTAAAATGTACCCCTCCTTCCCTGCTTGCTTTGCTCAGAGAGAGGGCGATGGTGAATGCTACCGACCTGACCTCCTGCTTACTGAACCGAACTGAGAACTGGAGAATTCATTCTGTATTCCAGTTTGAGATCCAATATGAGATTTGGAAATAGTTTACGTGATTAATCAGAAACCTCAGCCCTGTGCCCAGACTTCTGATGATAAATGACAATGATAATGAAACCACACCTGTGAAGGATCAATTGACTTCTAGCAGGCTCTTCAATTTGTTTCTTCAGTAGTTTTCAATGGGATTTTCTTTGGGGTCTACAGACATGGAACACGATAGTTGCTTACCTATTCTTTCATTGCTACATGGGTGATTGTAATGATGATCTTCTGGGATGGTGGGAAACTTTTTGCACTGTCCAGTGTGAAAACCACAGGTTTTGCATGAGTCATGTACTGCAGAAGCTCAGTCAGACCAGGTAGAAACTGCTTGCTGATGACCTGCAAACCAGCATCAAGTATGTAGTGGACACACTGGAGACATGTCCAGTCCTGTACACAGGACAGGTGGGCTTCTGTAATGTTCCATGGTCACAGGGTTTCCAGTTTCATGTTCAATTGGTTCCATTCAGTACCGCCATGGTGATGTTTTCATCCTGTAGAAAACTGTTTGCTGACAAGGAAATGACAGAATTTGTCATTTACTGTGGCCTTGATGATCTCTTTTGATGCTTCTGAGTGGAGCCACGTTTGCTAACTCTGCTACATGTTACCATCTATTACCATCCATGCTCTCTAGGAGATGATCTCCAACTGTTTTACACCAGTGTGGTGTCGTACTGATGGATTTACAAGTGTCATTCTCCTTGTTGGAGGCAGGAGATTCAATAGATGTGCTATCCTGTGGATACAAGAGAGGGTTGCTGGTGCTTGGCTAGGCATCATCACTTTGACTTTGAGCAATTGCAGCCTTTGTACTTACAGGAGAGAGTCCAAGTATAGTCACATGCTTAAACCTGCTTGTCGGTGGCCCGACATGAACTCGGTGAGGTGGAGGGGAAACTTGACATGAGACAGCAGTGTTCATAAACTGTGTGAGTCCTGAACTGTACTCAGTGCGACTTTGAACTGAGTACTTTGTCAGTTAGAAACATTTTGGCAACAGGGTTATGTTATTTGCGGTTCGATTTTGAACTTCTGTTTGCAATATAGCTTTATAGCAGATAGGATGAAAGGTTTGAGGAAAGCTTTATGTAGAGATGCGGAAAGATTTTCAGTTGGCTACTTCTTTCAAAAATGCATGTGTAATTCAGTGGGAAATAAAATCTCAGTTGTACCAAGTAGTGGTTTGGGTTATTTAAAAAGCAACACAGGTCGTTCAACACTAGTTTTTCCTATTGATCTTTACTGTAAGATATACTTCACGGACAATTTGCCATAGTGTGGTTATGAAAGAAAATGCTTATTAATCCTAGCAGTGTTTCTTGACCTCCGTGCTGTGCATGCATTTCTGTCACATGTTCCCAAGTACCCTGGCTTATGTTGTCAGTAAATGTCCAAGTCCAGTTTTCTTCTGTCCTCCCAAAGAGCTCCAACAGATGCACAAACCACACGGCCGTCTGCATATGGGTGTTCTTCCCACTTGCCAACATGTCAGACAGCCTGCTGTCTAAAGACGTTTGTGTTGGGTTCTGGGCCACTGGTTTAAGGTCTGGAGTGATGCGATGTGCATCCAGCATTGTTTTATCAAAGGTCTCCATTTGGGTGCCAAGATTCCAGTTGTGTAACAGCCCACCTTCTCTTCACTTACTGAATGTACAGCAAGAACGGGAAAACCCTGTGAGAGGTGCATGAATGTGAGGCAGATGTTTTGTGTGTGATGGGAGAGGAAGCCTTACATGGAAGAGAAAGTATCACACACATTTGTGAGAGAATTTTCCACTGAAGCAGATTTTCTGTGGCCAAAATTCCTGCATTCCATTGCACTGGCATTCTTATAGGATAATAAGGAGTTGTTTTCACGAGACTTGCCTTCCTTTGTCCTGACAAGAGGTGGGAGAAGACACATCAGTGTTCAAGAGAGAAGTCTGTAGAAATCAGGATGTTGGGGAACTCATCTTAAGCACTGAATAACTCCAATGATACTGTAATGCTCACTGTATTTGCCTTTACAAGTAATGAAAAAAACCAGCATCATTATTCCCTGGTAGGTGTGCAGTGATTAAGTCAGTAAATCATTAACTAGAAGATAATCACATTTCAACAATCAGCAGATAAATCCATCCGCTTCCTAGAATTCAAGCTACAGCCTGAGAAGGCGAAGGCGAAGAAGGAGAAGGAGAAGGAGAAGGAGGAGAAGGAGAAGGAGGAGAAGGAGAAGGAGAAGGAGAAGGAGAAGGAGAAGGAGAAGGAGAAGGAGAAGGAGAAGGAGAAGGAGAAGGAGAAGGAGAAGGAGAAGGAGAAGGAGAAGGAGAAGGAGAAGGAGAAGGAGAAGGAGAAGGAGAAGGAGAAGGAGAAGGAGAAGGAGAAGGAGAAGGAGAAGGAGAAGGAGAAGGAGAAGGAGAAGGAGAAGGAGAAGAGAAGGAGAAGGAGAAGGAGAAGGAGAAGGAGAAGGAGAAGGAGAAGGAGAAGGAGAAGGAGAAGGAGAAGGAGAAGAGAAGGAGAAGGAGAAGGAGAAGGAGAAGGAGAAGGAGAAGGAGAAGGAGAAGGAGAAGGAGAAGGAGAAGGAGAAGGAGAAGGAGAAGGAGAAGGAGAAGGAGAAGGAGAAGGTGACGGTTTCACAGTCAGTGCTCTGCCCACAGCACAATGACGCTGCGGCTTTGCTGTCCACTTGCTGCCGGGATTTTTATCCTCCTCGTTCCTGGCCTCTCTGAAGGAGGGAAACTCCTGGTGGTGCCCATGGTTGGAAGCCACTGGCTGAGCATGAAGGAAGTAGTTCAGAAGCTCGCCGAGAGGGGACATGAAGTGGTGGTGCTTAAACCAGAAGTAAGCTGGCATACGGGAGAAACACAAAAACACGCATACACTGTAAAGACATACCCAGTGTCCACCAAGTTAGAAGACCTGGATAATGCCTTTCAGCTGTATCTTGCAACTCACCTGAAGAGTATGCCTTTCCCACTGTATGCTTTTGCAACCTACAACATTTCAAAATACCTTTTTGAATCCTTCTACCTTCAGTGCAGAGAACTGTTCAGCAGCACAGAAACTCTGCAGTACTTGAATCAAAGTGGCTTCGATGCAGTCCTCACAGACCCTCTTTTTATGTGTGGAGCAACAGTTGCTAATTACCTTTCACTTCCATTTGTGTTCTTCATGAGAGGATTACCTTGCAATCTACACTTTGAAGCCGAACAGTGCCCAAGCCCTCTGTCGTATGTCCCCAGAACATTTTCCTTCAATTCAGACCACATGACATTTTTCCAGAGAGTGGAAAATACACTGATTTCTCTCCTGGAGCGCTTTTACTGTTATGGTTACTATCGAGCTGCAATACAGCTTTCCTCTGAAGTTCTTCAAAGAGATGTAACTCCGATGGACCTCCTGAACTCTGCTTCTATTTCAATAATGAGATTTGACTTTGTGTTTGAGTATCCCAGACCAGTGATGCCCAATATGGTCTTCATTGGAGGTATGAACTGTGCTGAGAAAAAACCACTGCCTAAGGTATGTTCATTTTCTCAAATTACACATTTCCCAAAGCAATGTAATTTCATGGGTAGTGGACATCTAGTGCTCTTGATTTTGTTCTTTTTTTTTTCCTAATGATTTAATTTGTAACTGAGTCTTGACATATTTTTTTCTGTGGTCTAAGATGCATGTGGGATATCCACAGTTAGATCCAGGTTTGTCAGAGCCCCATCTTGACCTTGAAAGTTTCCAGGGATGGGGCTTACACCAAATCTCTTAGCAATCTGTTCCAGAGCCTCACCACCCTTCACTGTAAGCAAGTATTTCCTAATATCCAACCTAAATCTCCCCTCTGTCTGCTTGAAACCATTTCTCCTTGTCCTAATACTATTGACCCTGCAAAAGAGTCTGTCCCCTTCTTTCTTATAGCCCCCCTTTATATACTGAAAGGCCTCTCTTAGGTCACCCCAGACCCTTCTCTTCTCTGTGCTGAACAGCTCCAGCTCTCTCAGCCTGTCCGTGCTGGGAGATGTTCCATCCCTGAATTATTTTTGTGGCCTTTCTCTGGACGCTCTCCAACAAATCTATGTCTCTCCTGAACTGAGGACTGCACATCTGGATGCAGTATTCCAGGTGAGACCTCACCAGTGCTGGGTGGAGAGACTGAATCACCTCCCTGGACCTGCAAATCTATGAATTCCCACATTTTCTGTATGTGCGCTTCAGAAAACTGACTCCCACCTCTCAACACCCCATATTCATCCCTCTCTGGGTGTTGGTTATTTATCATGTAGTTGCTTACATTACTGCCTGTGTGTGGCCGGGAGCTTAGAGGCTCAGTTTGTTCGTTGAAGTTTTCTCTGTGTTATCAGTGGGACTAGTAAAAGATATCCAAGACTGCTGTGTTGTGTCCATGAAGGTATTTGCTAGCTTCCTTTCCATTCACCTGCCCTGAACCCATCATTTAGTTGTTGCTGTGTTTTTTGTTTCTGTCTGGTAGCATGGCTTTTTTCTTCTCTTTCCTTCTCCTCTTCAGATTTGGAATTGCATGGTACTTTCTGGTGTTCATGATATATTCAAAGGACACACAATTTTGACTACTTGGAGGAGCTGTGAATTAAACGTCAGCCTTCTACATACTGATTAGGCACTTTTCAGTTACACCAACCCATAAAAGAAATGGAATTGGAATTTCCACTCTCTCTCATGAGCATATTTTGAAGGTTTCCTTTAGAAAGTACAAAGTCTTTCATAGTGGTAGATGCCTCCAGTGTTATTAAGAGATGATGCAGAATTATAAAATAGTTTGAGTTGGAAGGGACCTTAAAGCCCATCCACTTTGAATCCCTGCTATGGGAAAGGACACCTCCCACAGACCAGGCTGCCCAAAGCACTATCCAGCCTGGCCTCGAGCATTGCCAGGGGTAGGGTATCCACAGCCTGTGCCAGGACCTTACCACTCTCGTAGTAAAGAATTTGTTCCTTGTATCTAACCTAAATTAACTTTCTTACAGCTTAAAACCATTGTCCTCATCCCATATACTACACCCTCTGATAACAAGTCCCTCCCTAGCTTTCCTCTGGCCCCCTTTAAGCATGAAAAAGCCACAGCGAGGTCTTGCTGGATTTCTTTCTTCTCCAGGTTGAACAAGCTCAGCCCTCTCCAGCCTGTACTCATGTTTAGGATTGCCCCATGCCAGGTGCAGGACTTTGCACCTGGTCTTGTTGAACTTCATGACATTATCATGGGCCCCCTTCTCAAGCTTGTCCAGGTCTCTCTGGATGGCAAGCCCTTCCCTCCAGCATGTCAGTCCTAATACAGATGCCTGAGGGCAGCACTTGTCACTGGTTTCCACGTGGACATCAAACCATTGAATGCAACTCTTTGAATATAACTGTCCAGCCAATACCTTATCTGTTGAATGGTTCACCCATCAAATACACATATTTTCATTTTATAGGCAAGACTGCTGTCCCAGGTCTTGCTAGTTACACAACGAAAGACCATGCTGACCTGCTTCTAAGGTTAATGATTAAATAAATTAAAAGTACAAAGGGGGACAGCTTTTTTCAAGAACTCTGTACTTCTTTCCCTGTTATATACACAGTTGTCATCAATTATTGAACAATTACCTCAAAATTTTGGTAAGTTAAATATTTCTTTCTGTAGTCAATAATTATTTTCCTGTGGGTAAGTTAAGGTTACACAGACCTTCATATAAAGGACTGTGGTGGGTGTCTCCAGAACAGAACTCTACAGCTTACTTTCAGTGAAATGGCTCTTCAATTTCTGTGTTTTTACCAACGTACTGGGATATTTTTTCTTCTTCTATCATCTTTAATCTTTGCGGAATGTGGGAAGATCCTGGTGATACCTCAGGATGGAAGTCATTGGCTCAGTATGCGACCAGTAGTAGGAAAACTCCAGCAAAATGGACATGATGTTGTTGTGGTTGTACCGTCATCAAGTTTTTTTATGAAGACAAAGGAACATCAAAATTATACAGTGAAAGTATATCCAACACCTTATACAGATGAGCATTTACATGGCGTGCTCAAGTCATTTGTTAATGATCATCTTACTGAGCAATCTACATTGAAAGCAATCATCACTATGTATCACAGCATTGTAGAAGCTTTCAGGTTTTTTTTCACCACGTGTCAGAGCCTCTTGCACAACGAAGAAATGATGCAGTATTTGAGAAAGAGCAAATTTGACGTCGTTTTCACAGATCCAATTCTGATGTGTGGACCAATACTTGCTGATTATCTTTCAGTTCCTTCTGTCTACTTCTTGCGAGGATTTCCTTGCGGTATGGATTCAAAAGCTACCCAGTGTCCAAGCCCTCCTTCTTATGTTCCCAGGCTCTTCCTAAATAATTCCGATAGCATGACATTTGCTCAGCGTGTGAAAAACATGCTGGTCAATATACTGGAGCTTGTTTACTGTCAGCCTTTATTCACTCTATTTGAAGAACTTGCGTATGAGATTTTGCAAAAGAAAGTGACGTCTACAGACCTTCTAAGCCATGGATCTGTCTGGCTCATGAGATATGATTTTGCCTTTGAATTTCCAAGACCAATAATGCCAAACATGGTTTTTATTGGAGGGATAAACTGTGCTCAGAAGAACAAGCTGTCTCAGGTATAGAACTTTATTTTATTTTTATTGAAAACCAAGAACAAAAGTATGTAAGTATCTCACATTGAAACTTCACTAAAAACACCTTATTTAAAAATAGAAAGCTAATCAAAAATCCTGCAAGATTCATAAATATTATTTGCCAGTACCCAGCATTCTGATTAAATCATATCCTGGCAATCCTAAAGTCTTATCAAATAAGAAAACTTAAGTTACATGTAAACAGTATGCAAATGATGAACTGTTTTTTTGAATTGAAGCTCATCTGGATTTTGGCAAGTGGCAGGCATTTCTCTCCTAAAGAACTTGGTAGCTTCTATTTTATCTAAGTTTCTAATGCTACATCCACCTCCAGAAGAGCAGGCACCACAATCATACTGCTACATAGCTCTGAAAGAGTAGCCTGAGGAACACACATAGACACTGTCTGGTCTTTGTCTGCTCTACGGTGTTCAGGACTGTCCATCTGGACACATCAGGCACTTGCTGCCATGCCAGGAGCATTCAGTCCACCTGCTTTGGTGGCTATGGGAGCTATGGACTCTAGGTGTTGCCATCTGACTGTACTGACAGTCATGAAAAGCTTGCAGGATAAAGGGCACCCAATTACTGTTGTTGAAGGCAGCCTTGGCATCAGTGTTGAAGATTGGCATGGGCATTTCTGTGCATGTACATCTATATACCCATTCTCCTTTTTCATTCTTGAAGGTTATAGGACTAACATTTTTGCCATTTGTCAATTGTATTTCTGTCCATTCAGTCAGGTAAATTGAATTACCTCTTTCTCTTTATGTCAAGGTGTTAATATAAACTGGAAAAGAAATCAAATGCACACGAGGGTTAAAATTTGGAAAAAGTAGCAAATATATAAGCTGCAGCCAAATCTAAACCCCAGAAGAAAGCCTTTCAAAAATAAGTCCTCTTGTTCTTTTTAAGTTATTTAATTAGATTCTAGGCATGGATGTCTTCTATAAATTCCCATACAGGTTTTTGGGTGAGAGCCAGACCTCTGAATCAAATTTGGGTGGGATGGGGGGGAGGGGTGCAAGAAAGGGGTGTTCAAGAATTACATCTTCTAAGTGCACCTGAATCAGAATTGTGTAGAACAAAGCCCTGATGTCTTCTCTTTTGTTTAGATAAGTATGTTTCGTATTTGTGTTGGAGGTGACTGAGACAACCTTTGTACCACAAGAGTCTTTAGGGTCACAGAACGAAGCAAACCACCTGTTCTCTCTATCTGGTTACATATATCTCAATAAAGGGAAAAAGAATAGCCATTGCTTGTACAGTCTTTCAAAAGGACATAAATTATAAGTAGGAAAGATCACTGATCTGATATTCAAGACTCAAGCAGATGTCTGTGAAAGCCCCATGAAGGAAGCATGTAGCTGTCTGTATTCATATGTCAGAGTCTAGCTTGACTTCACCTAGTGTTCATCAGCCTTTGCTATGGTTATGAGTAACAGGCCTGTCTGTGTATCACCTTTTCCTGAGCTGTTTGAAAATTCACATTAATCTACTACCTTTGTCATAAACTATGGATATGTGGATAGTGCAGGTGGTAGAGCTAGATGTTCTTTTTGAAGGTAGGTTCTCACTGAGGTTAAAGCTTTCTCGCAAGGCTTGGAAATAAGTAGGCAGAAAATGCAAAGGAAAGAAGGCCCCACCAGTGTTGTAGAGCTTGGATGCCTGAAGTAACAAACTGCGTGCTGAATGCAGGATTTTTCATTGTAGATAACACTTTCCTGGTCACCTACTTATATATAAAGTTTTACTGCAGCAGGTAAACACCAGTAATGACTCAGCAGTTTAGATCAGGAAGGATCTGACTCCACAGAGTTCATGGACTGTGTCAGCCTTGAACTGAGCTCACACAGACCTTGGACTCACAAGTTCATCAGCTAGAGACACGTTGGCTTATGTTATCTGAAGGTCGATGGTTCTCTTTTGCAATAGCTTTGCAGTTGATAGGGTAAGAGATTAGATGGAAGTTTTATGTTTAAACGGGTAGAGATTTTCAGTTGGGTACCTATCTTCAAAAATGCAATTTCAATTCAATGGAAAAAAAACTTCATAGTTTTTCTCAATTTTACCAACTAGTTCGCTTTTTTAAAAAAAACAAAAACAAAAACAAAAATGAAAAAACACAGGTACTTCCACACTGATTTTTCATATTTATCTATTATACCCCGCTGCACAATTTGCCTATGCTTTATTAGGAAAAAAATACTTATTAAAAAATACCCAGTTATTGCACTGTAACAACTCTGACAGAATTCAGTGAGGTGAAGCTGTCCAACTCTATATGGCTAAGAGAAATTCTGGTGTGCTCTTTACAAACCGAGTAGCACCATATCATGTAATCCAAACAGTGTTTCTGGACAACCATGCTGTGCATGCATTTCTGTCACGTGTTCCCAAGTACCCTGGCGTATGTTGTCAGTAAATGTCCAAGTCCAGTTTCTTGTATCCCCAGGGCTCCAGCAGCTGCACAAACCACACGGCAGTCTGCATTGGTGCTCATCCCACTTGCCAACATGTCAGACAGCCTGCTGTCTAAAGACGTTTGTGTTGGGTCCTGGGCCACTGGTTTAAGGTCTGGAGTGATGCGATGTGCATCCAGCATTGTTTTATCAAAGGTCTCCATTTGGGTGCCAAGATTCCAGTTGTGTTACAGCCCACCTTCTCTTCACTTACTGAATGTACAGCGAGAACGGGAAAAACCTGTGAGAGGTGCATGCATTTGAGGCTGCTATTTTGTGTGTGATGGGAGAGGAAGCCTTACATGGGAGTGAAAGTATTGCACATGTGTGTGAGAGAATTTTCCACTCCGTGACAGATTTTCTGTGCACAAGCTTTCTGTTTTCCCTTGCACTGGTGTTGCCCTAAGATGGCTAGGATGGTCCCGTCCTATTTCACACATGTGTTGGAAATAGCCAACACCCTTCGGTCATGCTGATATAAACTATGAACTGATTTTAGATAGTATATAAGTTCAATTCAATCACATGAATGAGTAAAACCTAGGCATGGTTATTCATAACTTATTTGCCAATATGATGGTTCCAATTTGCAGACCCACATTTAAATGATCAGCTGAAGGTGACCCAGCATCGACTGAGCACCTGGGAAATGTTCTCTTATAAACGAGGGAAGTCAGAAACCTGCATTTACCTTGGCATCCCCAATAAATACTCACCATCTCTGAGTGAGAGATGCTATGGCATGTTCATTAGCTCACTTAACAGCCACCCACAGCACCTCATCCTTAAACCATGTCTGGGAAAGGAGCAAAAAGATTAGATAGGTGCCCAGATATCACCATCTGATCTGATCACTAGGCAGGGAATAGGTCTCCATCTCCTTCCTACATCACAGCTACAGTAATTCTGCGTTGAATAGATGTTGCTGTGTGAGAACAGAAAGAGATTGCAGAGATTTGTCTTTCTAGTGATTATTTCAAGTGTATGGATTCTAGAGGAAAATAATCAGCTTTAGGAGGTGTAGTTGTAGCTAAAATCCAAACTTTTCTGGGCAAAGTGCAAGAGACAGGCAAGAGTTAATCCCAGCTCCTTGCGTGACTTGCGTTCATGTACACAAAGTTATTAACGGCTGCCCCTGTGAAACAGTAACTGAGCCCAAGGATAAATCCCCGCTCTTAGTATAGTGAACATCTCCCCAATGACTCAGCTTATCTCAGAACAGCAGTTGTTTGCATAGTTACATCAATCAGCCAACACTGAACATAGCCAACTCACTCAGCAGCTAGCAGTCCTCTATCTCCCAGTGTAACCAGAGGCAAGAAAAGTGAATAGGAGAGATGGGGGCTGCTGCAGTTTGGGTAAGACAAGGGGAGGTCTGCACTGATGGGCTGCTGATGCTAAGAAGGTCATCAGTCTGTGGTACTGGTATGGAAAGGAGATGGGTGAGGCACTGAGTTGTAGTCACAGTATGGGAGAGCCAAGTTTATGACAGCAGTCACACCTTTCTCGTGCTTGTACAAACCTGCTTTTGAAGTCCAAAACCCATTTCAACATTTTATAATCATCAATCTCCTGACATGAATCCAGTTGCGTGCAAACTGATAAACATGTGAAACAGTAAATCAAAAGGGCAAAAGTATCATTGCCAAGTGCTATATTTGAGCAGGTGGATTGAAGCCTCAAAAGCTTTCAAACCACCCAGCTGGCTCTTGCACGGATTTCTTTCCACCTTGCAACATGCTGATGGCAATGCTTCTCCCCTTCTTGTGCTGCTTGAGTACTGCTGCTGCTGGGAAGTTGTTGGTGGTCCCGATGGACGGCAGTCACTGGCTCAGTATGAAGGAAGTGCTGACTGAACTGAGCAGGAAAGGGCACGAAATAGTTGTTGTAGCACCAGACAGCAATATCCTCATAGATTCTTCAGGGAATTTCACGATGAAGACGTATCCTGTACCATACAAGCAGGAAGAGATAAAAGAGCTTTTGCATACTTTTGGCATGAGCAGTTTCAGTGAACGGCCTTTTCTTACCAGATTTTTGGATACTTGGGAACTTTTTAGAAAGTCTTCTACTATGTTTCAAGCTTCCTGCAGTTCCTTACTGTACAAAAAAGAGCTGGTGAAATTTCTGGAAGAAAGCAAATTTGATGCAGTCTTTACAGATCCTGTGACACCCTGTGGACAAATAGTTGCTCTGCATTTGTCTATTCCTACTGTTTTCTTCTTGCGGGGTATTCCATGTTCTATAGACACTTATGCTGCCCAGAGCCCAAGCCCAGTGTCCTATGTCCCACGATGGTTCTCATTCAATACAGATCATATGACATTTCCTCAGAGAGTGAAGAACGTACTGATAAGCATTTCGGAGTATTTTATCTGCAGTATTGTCTTTTTACCATTTGAAAGACTGGCCTCAGACTTTCTCCAAAAGCCTATGACGTTGACACAGCTTCTAAGTCATGGATCCATTTGGCTGAAGAGAACTGACTTTGCCTTTGACTATCCTACACCTGTGATGCCCAGTATGGTTTTCATTGGAGGCATAAACTGTGGAAGGAAGAAGCTGTTACCTCAGGTTAGTGAGTGACTGGGAAATGTTCTGGCAGTCATATGCTTGCATGGTCTGTGCCAGATCTAAAAGCATTTCATATAGACATTACTTACCTACAGGTGTTATTTAGAGTAACTGTTTCTGTATCACAATGCATGTGAGTAACAGTGGTGTTGTTGAGCAGCAGAAGACATGATTCCATCTTCTTCTTTCCGACCTGCCCAACACAGGGATTTTGTTCTCTATGCTATATTTAATTCCAGCTGGTCAGGTACACAAACTTCACCTGGTCCAGGAATTAATGCATAAAAGTGCAGGTGGACTTAACAGTTCTTCCAAAAATTCTTTGCCCCATGAGACGATAGTGTATTTCTTCAAGAGCACTAGCTGTTTATCCAGTCAGAAAAGTAACTGGGTTAAGTGCAATAGCATTATTTGCTCTTTTCTGTAATGGTGGTGTTGTGCTTGGTTTGAGTTGAAAGGCTAATACTTTATTATGGGGAAAGTTACAATCTAGCAACAGTTTCCATCACAAAAACTAGGCAGCTGCATGCTCAGCTGTCCTTTCATAAGACATCCAGTTCAGACAGAAAATGTTCTCCTGTAAATATTGTGGGGTCTGATCACCTCTTGCATGTGTGTGATGCATGTTGACTTTCAGGTGTTCACGATGTACTACATTAGCTTCATGATGTACCACATTAGCTTGTAGCTACATGTGATGTGTCTCTTCTTGCTTGCTTGTGATAAGTACAACAGTCTCATGCTGTGAAGGCAGCCATTAAGTAGAAAAGGGTAGATGGGAGGAGATAGCACTCCTCAGCAGCTGGTGAATCTCCAATTAATGGCATCCAACAGTTTCAGCAACAAATCACGTTGTTTCTTGAAAGAGATAAAAGTTTTGTCCTATTTGCATGCCCCTAACAAAGAAACAGGCATTTCTCTGTTCTTCCCTTGAACGTTTTTCACTTCTCTGTGTCATACATAGTGTATGTATTCCTCCCTGCCTGTCAGCTCTTCTATTCTTCCTGTAAATGCATATGCCTTTGTGATTATGAATTAAGGATGCTTTATAGTAAAACAGATTTGCACTTTACAAGCTTGCACACCTTCCCCAGATCCAACCTTATCTGCCCTCAGGCTGTGCTTAATTCCTCCCATTACTTCACCTGATGCTGCCCATTGTTAGTACTGCTTACTTCAGCAGAGCAGCTATTGCTCAGGTCTTGCTTACTCACAGAAAAGTCTTTTTTTTCCCTGTTCTGTTCATCTGACCTGTTTAAAGGCTGCTTCAGGGACAAGCCCAGACAGACCCTTCGGGAAAGCAACGGGACCAGTTCGCCTGCACGCAGTTCCACTTCAAATTTCGACTCTCCTCTAAAACCAGAGCTCACTTTCACCCTTATCTTGCAAGGGTTAAAAAGTTCAGAGTCCAGCATATTTTTATTCCTGATTCCTTAATGGCATTCCAGCCCTTTATTTGTTACCTTCTAGATGTAGCTAGGCATCACAGTTATATGTAAAAGAAAAATGTAATACTGAAGGTTAGCACATGTCTAAAAAAAATGCTTGCTAACTGCTCAGGTATGGTATTTTAGTTTTAGTTTTTCCTCTGAAATAAGAACACCATGGCTTGCCATTCAAAAACAGTTCTTGTTTTGAAAGTGCTATTGATTACTTCTGCCAAGGCTTTAACTAACTGGGTACCAAGGGATCTGAGTGGCTTTATTTTCATGCAATTCTTGTCAACTGGCAGTTAACATTCTGGTTGCTCTTTCAGTTTACAGAATCACAGAATTGTAGGGGTTGGAAGGGACCTCCAGAGATCATAGAGTCCAACCCCCTGCCAAAGCAGGTTCCCTACAGCAGGTCGCACAGGTCGGCATCCAGGCAGGTCTTGAACATCTCCAGAGAAGGAGACTCCACCACCTCCCTGGCAGCCTGTTCCAGTGCTCTGTCACCTCACTGTACAGAAGTTCTTGCGCATATTTGTGCGGAACTTCCTATGCTGCAGTTTCCAGCCGTTTCCCCTTGTCCTGTCTCCACTCACCACTGAAAAGAGTCCATCCTCGCCATTCTGCCCCCCACACCTCAGATATTTATAGACCTGGATCAGGTCCCCTCTCAGTCTTCTTTTCTCAAGGCTGAACAGACCCAGTTCACTCAGCCTTTCTCCATAGCAGAGATGCTCCAGGCCCCTCACCATCTTTGTGGCCCTCCGCTGGACTCTTTCCAAGAGATCCTTGTGTTTTTTGTACTGGGGTGCCCAGAACTGGACGCAGTACTCCAGATGAGGCCTCACCAGGGCAGAGTAGAGGGGGAGGATCACCTCCCTTCGACCTGCTGGACACGCTCTTTTAATGCACCCCAGGATGCCATTGGCCCTCTTGGCCACAAGGGCACAGTGCTGGCTCATGGCCAACCTGTAGTCCACCAGGACACCCAGGACCCTCTCCGCAGATGGAGTCTTATACTTCCACAGCATGGTTTCCTTATTTTCTTATACATGTACATAGTTTTTTTTCAGTGAATGATTTGTTACACAGCATTATTAGTGCAGTACTTGCTGAAAAAGATGTTATTCCCTGCAGTCCCACTATTCATTCAGTGCAAATGGATGGCCATTATCCAGTTTATCTATGGATCAGATGACTGCTAGAGAGTTTGGCTGAACTTTAAAACCGCCAGTTTGTCCATGTCAGTGATTATACGTTCACCACAAAGCAAATAAGCATAAAGGTCATCACAAAAAACACAGCTCAGTTAGCTTAAAAGCCCAGAGGTGCTTGTGTTCATTAGAACACCTCTCCCACATTTCTGCAGGAATGGCCCTGATGCTTCCTTCTCATCCACAAGTCTCTGAGTCAACCATCATAGACTGTGAACAATTACTGCACAACACAGAACTTATCAGATATCTCAAGGAGAGTAACTTTGATGCTCTCTTAACGGATCCTGTACTGCCCTGTGGAGCAATACTGGCCGAGCATCTTTCCATCCCTTCTGTGTATTTCATGATAGGAATACCATGTGGATTAGATTTTGAGGCCACCCAGTGTCCCAGTCCCCCTTCTTATGTCCCCAGGCTATTTTCAGACCTTACAGATCACATGAACTTCCTCCAGCGTGTGAAGAATGTCATCTTTGACACCTCCAATCTTTTTCTTTGTGACTTCATTTTTAAACCATTTGAAAAACTGGCTTCTGAGTTCCTCCAGCGAGATGTGACCATGCTAGATCTCTATCGTAAGGCTTCTGTATGGCTTCTGAGGTATGAATTTGTGCTAGAATATCCACGACCACTGATGCCCAACATGATTGTAGTTGGAGGAGTGAACTGTGCTCACAAGCAGCTCTCTCAGGTGAGTTGTGCTCTGGTTTTAATTCTTGTTATGATAGACTTCCGTGCTCCTAAAACTGTGATTTTTTATAATGTAGATATTTAGTTCCCAATGGAAGTGACCTGTGCAGGCGTTAGTGAAAACAATGGTATTTCTGTCATTTCTTCCTCACTTTCCGCTTTTTTTTCCTGTATAGACAACTTCACCTTTTCATTTACAAAGTATGGTGAATTGAGAGGCAGTAAGTGGCTTCTGGCATGTTTTCTTTTCCTGTACAAGAAGGCATTCTCCCACTTGGCTGAGGAGAGGTAAGAGTGTATGAGAACTATAGGGATGTGTCCCTTGTGTGTATTCCAATGGAGTTGTGCCCTGCATTGAAAGCTTCATCTGGCATTAGAGCAAAAAGCTATCTTAGGTTAATCCTCAGTGAAGGAGTGGTCAGGTGCTGGAATGGGCTGCTCAGTGGGGCAATGGAGTCACTGACACTGGAAATGTTCCAGAAACATTTACATGTTGTATAGAGGGGCATCGTTTAGTGAGAACTGTTGGTGAGAGGCGGGCGGTTGGCTGGATGATCGTGAAGGTCTTTTCCAACATTGGTGATTATATTATTCTGTGTTTCTGTCAAATTCAGTTTAACTGTGAAATGAACTCTGGACTTGTTACACATGACTTTTTTGCTGTGTGTTCTTGAAATACATCATCTATGGTGCTGAGTAACACAGGATTTGCTTGCTCTCATAAGGATCTCATAATGAGCTATGGAAGGGTACTGGAAAGTCTGAGGGACTGCCACTGGCTCACAGTCAGCTAAAATCTTTCAACTTGATACCTGTTGGGAGTAGTGTCTGTTAGTTATAGAGAAATGCACATCAGGCTTCTGTCCAGAGGCACCCTTGCTGCCTTACGACTTCTTTCTTTCTTTGTGAAATTGCCTGCTGTATACAAAGGTATTTCCAAAGCCAGAATGAACAGGAATGTCACAGATGAAGGACGCTCAAGCTATGAAGAAGAGTCTGTGTTTACAGGCAGACCTCAGACAATCTTTCCTTGGAGATGACCTTGTGATATCTCAGATGCCATCCATGTTGTGAGCCTGAAGGAGAAATGGTGGCATGGTGGATCCCGGTGAATGGCACGAGAGCTGCCACAGTGTTTTTCACCTAGAATTTCTTCCAGGGCTGCTCTCAGTAGAGGAAAAATTCTTTGCTCTTCTGGCGAAGGTCTGTTCTGGGACTTTGTACCCATTATCAAAAGGGACTACCAGGTTCCAACAAAAGTAGGACAAGGTGCTCTATTACCTGAGTTCTTTACTCAGAGGCTGGCCAGCTGTTCTGAGGCACTGGAAGTACCTCACTGTGTGGGTGATGTGTCCTGCACTCAAACTGCTGTCATTTTTAACAGCATCTTGAACAGCTCTTTCACATCAGGTGCTGGCCCATAGGCCTTCTAGAGATGAATGTTCAGAAGGAGAGCCATGGTCAAAGGAAAGAGAGCAGCTGCTGCTAGGCGCAGTGGTGATGTGGGCATCACCCAGATCTCCTGTGGATGCAAAAGTTTCACCCTGAGGGAGGCTATTAGAAGCACAGAGCCACATGGACCTATTCCTGCTTCCTTCCAGGGTCACACACCACCCTTCCTCTAAAAGGAACTGATGGGGCGTAGCTGGTGGGAGCAGTGGCACCACCCTCCCATGGACTTTGTTGAACTCCAGTGCTTGTTATCCAGCCTTTTATCAAACCAGTGATTAAACATTTACCACACAGAAATTATATTATGGAAGGATCAAGATCTACAGCATTGAGCAGATAGCTCAAAGAGCACAGGGCTGTTGCTGTTGCTTCAGAGCTGCCCGGAGTTTTCTTGCAGTGCAGCTCTCCCACATTTCTGCAGGAATGGCCCTGCTGCTTCCTTCTCATCCACAAGTCTCAGTGTCGCTGCTTCTGCTGCTGTCCGTGCTCAGCTTGGCTGCAGGTGGGAAGCTGCTGGTTCTATCCATGGATGGCAGTCCGTGGTTCAGTGTGCTGAAAATGTTTGAAGTCCTGAAGCAGAAAGGACATGAAATTGTCGTCGTTGCACCTGATGCCAATTTAAACGTAAAGCCATCGGAGAATTTTATTCTGAAAACCTACCCAGTCCCGTTCACTGAGGAAGGGCTGCTTGGCCGTTTGCAGTCAATTTTAAAGGGTCTATTTGAAGATGGATCATTCCTGGAAAAATATTTTAGAGAACAGGAAAATATGAAAAAAATCACTGAGTCAACTGCCAAAGAATGTGAGCAGTTACTGTACAATGAAGAACTTATCAGATATCTCGAGGAGAGTAACTTTGATGCTCTCCTTACGGAACCTGTACTGCCCTGTGGAACAATACTGGCCGAGCATCTTTCACTCCCTTTTGTGTATTTCATGATGTTTCTACCATGTGGATTAGATTTTGAGGCCACTCAGTGCCCCAGTCCCCCTTCTTATGTTCCCAGGCTACTTACAGAACATGCAGATCACATGAACTTCTTCCAGCGTGTGAAGAATGTCATCTTTGACACCTCCAATCTCTTTCTTTGTGACTTTATTTATAAACCTTTTGAAAAACTGGCTTCTGAGTTCCTTCAGCGAGATGTGACCATGCTAGATCTCTATCGTAAGGCTTCTGTATGGCTTCTGAGGTATGACTTTGTGCTAGAATATCCACGACCATTGATGCCCAACATGATTGCAGTTGGAGGAATAAACTGTGCTCACAAGCAGCTCTCTCAGGTGGGTCATTCTCTTCTTTTAATTCTTCTTTGCTTCTGTTTTTTTCTGTGTATGCAGCTCCATCTTTCATTTGCAAAATATGCTCAAATGAGTGTTAGCAAATTGTTTCTGACTGGCTTTCTTTTCCTTTATAAGTCGCCATTCTCCAGTTGGCTGAGTACAGGCAAACGAGTGTGGCAAGTGTAGGGAAGAGTCCACCTTGAAAGCTTCCACCTTCTGTAGAAAGTGAATGTATCTGAGGTAAATTTATCTCTGAAGTGAACACTGGATTTGTAATGGACTACTTCTCATTAGGTCTTATTCATAAAGGAATTGTATGGAATGGAGTAACTTCGTTACTGTCATAAGGATCTCACAGAAAGCGATAGAAAGGTAGTTGAGAATCTGAGAGGCTGTCAAATCATCACAGTCAGATATAATCATTCTACTTGGCAAATATGGGGTGAAGAATTTATAGAGAAACACACAGCAGGCTTCTGCGCTGGGACACCACTGCTGCCTTTCCACTTCTTTCCTTGTCCGTGAAATTGTCTGCTGTACATGAGGGTATTTCCAAAGCCAGAATTCTACAGGAATATTATGTGTCAAGCAGACTCAAGCTAGGAAGCAGCATCTGTGTTTAAATAACAGGGAGACCGCAGTCAAAGATTGCTGGGTAATGACCGTGTGATATCTGAGATGCCGTCGATGTTGTGAGCCTGAAGGAGGTGTGGTGGCATGGTGGATCCCGGTGAATGGCACGAGAGCTGCCAAAGCATTTTTCAATGTTTTTCTCCTAGAATTTCTTCCAGGGCTGCTCTCAGTAGAAGAAAAATTCTTTGCTCTCCTAGTGAAGGTCTGTAGTGGGACTTTGTAGCCATTATCGAAAGGGACTACCAGGTTCTGAGGCACTGGAAGTACCTCACTGTGAGGGTGATGTGTCCTGCAGTCAAACTGCTGCCATGTTTAACAGCATCTTGAACAGCTCTTTCACATCCAGTGTTGGCCCATAGGTCTGCTAGAGGTGAATGTTCAGAAGGAGAGCCAGTGTCAAAGGAAAGAGAGCAGCTGCTGCTAGGCGCAGTGGTGATGTGGGCATGACAGATCTCCTGTGGATGCAAAAGTTTCACCCTGAGGGAGGCTATTAGAAGCACAGAGCCACATGGACCTATTCCTGCTTCCTTCCAGGGTCACACACCACCCTTCCTCTAAAAGGAACCAATGGGCTGTAGCTGGTGGGAGCAGTGGCACCACCCACCCATGGACTTGGTTGAACTCCAGTGCTTGTTATCCAGCCTTTTATCAAACCAGTGATTAAACGTTTACCACACAGCAATTATATTATGGAAGGATCACAATCTACGGCATTGAGCAGACAGCTCAAAGAGCTCAGGGCTGTTGCTGTTGCTTCAGAGCTGCCCGGAGTTTTCTTGCAGTGCAGCCCTCCCACATTTCTGCAGGAATGGCCCTGCTGCTTCCTTCTCATCCACAAGTCTCAGTGTCGCTGCTTCTGCTGCTGTCCGTGCTCAGCTTGGCTGCAGGTGGGAAGCTGCTGGTGGTGCCTGTAGGTGGGAGCCATTGGCTCAGCATGAAGGAAGTGTTAGTTGAACTCAGGCAGAAAGGACATGAAATAGTCATCATTTCATCTGACTTCAATCTCCATGTGAAGCCATCAGACAATTTTACAATGAAGCTGTACCAAGTCCCCATATCAGAGGAAGAGACAAACGGAGTTTTACAAGCATTTTTAAAGCAGGCATTTGAAGAAGGATCATTCCTGGAAAGATTTCATGCAGCACGAGAAAGATTGAGAACACTCTTTGATTTAGGCTTCATAGCCTGTGAAGAGTTATTGAACAACAAGGAGCTCATCCGATATCTCGAGCAGAGTAACTTTGATGCTCTATTTACAGACCCTGTACTGCCCTGTGGAGTGATAGTGGCCGAGCACCTTTCCCTCCCTTCTGTGTATTTGCTAAGGGGAATACCATGTGGATTAGATTTTGAGGCCACTCAGTGTCCCAATCCCCCTTCTTATGTCCCCAGGCTATTTTCAGACCTTACAGATCACATGAACTTCCTCCAGCGTGTGAAGAATGTCATCTTTGACACCTCCAATCTCTTTCTTTGTGACTTTCTTTATAAACCATTTGAAAAACTGGCTTCTGAGTTCCTTCAGCGAGATGTGACCATGCTAGATCTCTATCGTAAGGCTTCCGTATGGCTTCTGAGGTATGAATTTGTGCTAGAATATCCACGACCATTGATGCCCAACATGATTGTAGTTGGAGGAGTGAACTGTGCTCACAAGCAGCTCTCTCAGGTGAGTTGTGCTCTGGTTTTAATTCTTGTTATGATAGACTTCCGTGCTCCTAAAACTGTGATTTTTTATAATGTAGATATTTAGTTCCCAATGGAAGTGACCTGTGCAGGCGTTAGTGAAAACAATGGTATTTCTGTCATTTCTTCCTCACTTTCCGCTTTTTTTTCCTGTATAGACAACTTCACCTTTTCATTTACAAAGTATGGTGAATTGAGAGGCAGTAAGTGGCTTCTGGCATGTTTTCTTTTCCTGTACAAGAAGGCATTCTCCCACTTGGCTGAGGAGAGGTAAGAGTGTATGAGAACTATAGGGATGTGTCCCTTGTGTGTATTCCAATGGAGCTGTGCCCTGCATTGAAAGCTTCATCTGGCATTAGAGCAAAAAGCTATCTTAGGTTAATCCTCAGTGAAGGAGTGGTCAGGTGCTGGAATGGGCTGCTCAGTGGGCAATGGAGTCACTGACACTGGAAATGTTCCAGAAACATTTACATGTTGTATAGAGGGGCATCGTTTAGTGAGAACTGTTGGTGAGAGGCGGGCGGTTGGCTGGATGATCGTGAAGGTCTTTTCCAACATTGGTGATTATATTATTCTGTGTTTCTGTCAAATTCAGTTTAACTGTGAAATGAACTCTGGACTTGTTACACATGACTTTTTTGCTGTGTGTTCTTGAAATACATCATCTATGGTGCTGAGTAACACAGGATTTGCTTGCTCTCATAAGGATCTCATAATGAGCTATGGAAGGGTACTGGAAAGTCTGAGGGACTGCCACTGGCTCACAGTCAGCTAAAATCTTTCAACTTGATACCTGTTGGGAGTAGTGTCTGTTAGTTATAGAGAAATGCACATCAGGCTTCTGTCCAGAGGCACCCTTGCTGCCTTACGACTTCTTTCTTTCTTTGTGAAATTGCCTGCTGTATACAAAGGTATTTCCAAAGCCAGAATGAACAGGAATGTCACAGATGAAGGACGCTCAAGCTATGAAGAAGAGTCTGTGTTTACAGGCAGACCTCAGACAATCTTTCCTTGGAGATGACCTTGTGATATCTCAGATGCCATCCATGTTGTGAGCCTGAAGGAGAAATGGTGGCATGGTGGATCCCGGTGAATGGCACAAGAGCTGCCACAGTGTTTTTCACCTAGAATTTCTTCCAGGGCTGCTCTCAGTAGAGGAAAAATTCTTTGCTCTTCTGGCGAAGGTCTGTTCTGGGACTTTGTACCCATTATCAAAAGGGACTACCAGGTTCCAACAAAAGTAGGACAAGGTGCTCTATTACCTGAGTTCTTTACTCAGAGGCTGGCCAGCTGTTCTGAGGCACTGGAAGTACCTCACTGTGTGGGTGATGTGTCCTGCACTCAAACTGCTGTCATTTTTAACAGCATCTTGAACAGCTCTTTCACATCAGGTGCTGGCCCATAGGCCTTCTAGAGATGAATGTTCAGAAGGAGAGCCATGGTCAAAGGAAAGAGAGCAGCTGCTGCTAGGCGCAGTGGTGATGTGGGCATCACCCAGATCTCCTGTGGATGCAAAAGTTTCACCC